GAGGCCTGTTTATGTACACCAAGACCTGCTGTGTGACGAAAACGTGGTCATATGGCCCTGTTTACACCTGGCATTAACAGCAATAACAGCATTAACAGCATTAACAGCAACTTAGCATGTTGCTAAGCTGTCAAAACAGTAATCTAATGGTCATAGCAATACTTAGCACATACAAATATTGTAGATTTTTTTGTTTTAATTGGTTCAAGCTACTTTTCAGAATATGTATTTATAACCAACATTTTTTCTTAACTCATTTACCATATTGGATGATTTTACATGGGGTTTCCCAAATTGGGTTTAAAAATCAAATGCAACATTAAAATAAATGGGGTGTCACAATTATTCAAAATAAAATGGAAATAGTAATGTGTATTATCAAATTGTGATAATCAAATCAAAGGCTGTGACAAAGTAACTTTGTTCTTTGTTCCTTTTGTCTCAGTATTATAAGACATTTTCAGATGAAATGAAAGTTTAAATTGCATCTTAAAATGCAATATATGCCCCAAAAAATCTATCAATCTATCGAACACAATTTAATTTAAGACCAAGTCATGCAGTCCTATACATCAAAATAATTTTAAATTATAAAACGATTAAATATTTTAAATTTTTGTGTGTCATATAACCATTAACCAACACCAAAACTATGAATGTGTTGTTAAATTATTGAAATTTTAACTTCAAATCTCCAGAGTTACTTTCAAATATTTTATGTCTAGGTTCAGCTGACAAAAGTTTGGCAACCCCTGACTTAACCTAGTCACGGTGCATTCTGGGACAGCAGTGGCATGCAGTGCATTAACAAGGTACGCCTTTGATGGTCTGTCACATTATTACATTTTGAGACATTTGAGACAATCAATTGTAATTTTAAGTTATATATTTCTTTTTATTTATTTCTTAAATGCATACTTTTCATTTTATATATTTCATAAGTTTTGTGTCCCAATTTTTGTCAGCGCTTGTCTAAAAGGTTTGAAGGGTCTTGGGGAGTGAATGGGGAGTGAATGTACAGCACTCTCTCCCACCTTCAATACCACGACTGAGGTGCCCTTGAGCAAGACACTGAACCCCCAACTGCTCCCCGGACGCCGCAGCATAAATGGCTGCCCACTGCTCCGGGTGTGTGTTCACGGTTTGTGTGTGTTCACTGCTGTGTGTGTGCACTTTGGATGGGTAAATGCAGAGCACTAATTCTGAGTATGGGTCACCATACTTGGCCACATGTCACTTCACGTTCACTTTCACTTTCACTTTCACCACATGCCACTGTTGGATTGCCTTCTTCATGTAGGATGCATGCAATGCTGCTTTATAATTTGACTTAGTGGAATAGACTTTATGTCAGTAGCATTCCCACAATGCCTTAAAATGCTATCTGTAGGCAGCTCACCAGGCATTGGAACAGAGCTATTATTTCTTTATAGCCCGTAAACCGTGCAGTGCAGTGCCAGTTTAGCTGAAGGTAACCGACTTCATCTCATGCTGTTTACTGCTTATACGTGTCTTGATGCCTTTTTCACTGTTTTTGTCGCATCAATTCGGAATCTTCTGACATTTGGCTTCCAACTGAGTGTGTTTTGTCCCTGCTTCTCAGTATCTGTAAAATGGCTAAGGACACAAACTCACTAATTGAGGTCACAGGGTCTCTCCAAGCGGTGCTTTTCTAATCTCCATAGCCTTCAGTCTCGCTCTTTATAACATGCTGAAATGGAGAAGTCCTCCAGGGGTAACCTTTGAAATTAAATGGCCCATAATTCTACTGATATGTGTCAGCGCCTGTCATTAGAGGCGGGGCTTGTATGTGTGTGAGTGTATGGCCATCTCCTCACCTGTCCCTAAAAGCTGCAGGTCCCAGAAGAGATGTCTTCATTGCTCTTCCATCCCAGAGCACAGCCTCTTTTTTCCATTTGCGTGTCAATGGAGCTGTCAATTATGGTGTCCCTTGGCCATAAAAAAAATATCTATCATATTTCAGAGGATGAATCTCAATTCCAGGGCCAAAAACTATGTCTCTCAATGTGATACTGCTCTGAAGGAGATTTGATGATATAACTCTGCTCCCAATCTTTCCTCTTCAGCCTCATTTACACATCTAATCTCAGAATCTATTGAATGCAAATAGATATCTCCTGACTGACAGACATGCAGATTTATGGGAGATTGGCTGGATAGGTGATTGAATGCTTATATTCTTGGAGTGATATATTCATTTGCATCAAATATTAGACATAAGCAGAATTCAGAGAATCCTTGGTAGTCATTCGTCATGATTTGCATGAACTACAATTTACAGTGCATTTAGTCAAGATAATGTATTGCTAATGCTAAATTTTGCATAAATTGTGATTCATGGAGCCATTCATACTTGTGTGAAAAACAGATGACAACAGTCATTGTGGTAAGTGTTTTTGGGGTGTATTTCTGGTCTAATAGTGCATGATTAATGAATATAGCAGTATCAAAAGGCAAATACATTTCGGTATTCATTTTTTAAAATAAATATAAAAAAAACGTAATTGTTATTAAATAATGGAACTGATGGACTTTTGAAAGCAACATTTGTGATTTAGGGCAGAAATGTAAATGCAAAGTGATGGGAAGGGGCTTGATCTTTTAGACTTGTTTAGATTTGTTTGGTATGACAGGAACATTTGATACAAATGATGAAAGCTGAAAATGTCTGATCTGACAGGAGGCCCTAGTGGTCAGTTTGCTCTGAATGGTTAACTTGGGTTGAATACTGCCTGAGGCATTAGAGGCCCCTGGCAGTCTAAGGCCCCAGGGCCTCCCGATAGCCATTTCTTTAAATTTGTGTCCTTTTTAAAGGGATAGTTTACCCAAAAATGAACAATCACCTTCATGTAGGCCTTATAACAGAAAGCAATGGTCTCCAATGCTTTTTAGTTCCCAACTTCCTTTAAAATATCTAATTTTGTTCATCACAGAGGAATGAAAAGTACAGATTTGAAATGACATGAGTGAGTAAATGAAGTTAACTATTTATTTTAATAACATTATGGTGCAGTTGATCTTGGTTTTACAAAACAATTCTGTTATCATACTAACCCTCCTGCTGTTCCAAACCTGTATGACTTACTTTCTTTTGTGGAACACAGAAAGATAGATTTTGATTGATGATTGATATTTTCAGTGCAATTACGATTAATAGGGACTGAAGTGTTCAAGCGTCAAAAGGGATACAAAAGATATACTAAAAATATCATCAAATAGTCCATGTGACCAAACTTCTGAAGCCTTACAGTCCAGTGAGCTGTAAACTGCAGCAGCCAGATCATTGAATCAGTATCTTTTTGAATTTCAGAACCAGATCAGTCAGATTTGTAAACAAATCACAATCAGTTGTTCTGCTTAACATTTATTGTGGAAACCGTGATACTTTTTTTCTGTATTCTTTGATGAATGGAAAGAATAGCATTTATTTGAAATGGAAACCTTTACTGTCACTTTTGACCAATTTAATGCATTCTTGCTGAATAAAATTGTTCATTTCTTTTTTCTTTCAAAAGTTTGAATAGTGTATTTAACAGTCTTCATCCCATACTGCTTCTATTGTTTTAGATAACATGCGAAGCTGAATTCAGGTTGCATAGAGATCCACCTCAAGAAATTACCTAAGAAACGTTTCTTGTGTAAGATGTGATGGGGGTCTCCTCACTAGCCTTATGTAGGACCCAATGGAGACCATTTAATTGACATAGACTTTTCATGGCCGCAGGACGCCAATTGAAGCCTGGATCTCCTACCAGCTGAGTGCTGTTCTGAGACGAAGAAAGCAGCTGAGTATGAAAGGCCACCCTTGAGCGTAAATGATAATGGAATAGATTTTTTTCTCCAGCAGCCTCATGTTTTTGTGGAACAGGAAGTGGAGTGCGTGTATTGGTGCAAAAGCACAGGCATGGTAGTAAATGGATATGCAGGAATACGCTATGCTATGCAATTAGAGCTCAAGTTTCTTGATTTCCCACTTGCACCGTTAAAAGCAACATAGGAGCCACAAGGTGTCTAAAGCATTTTACTTTGATTAGCTTTTTGACCATTGGGAATTTGGGAAACCAAAACAACAGAGCTAGTTCTTTCCCATATACAGTAAATGAGAATACATAGCATTCAGGTGTTTTCATATCAGATCTTAAAATTTTGCATTCTAATAAAAGTAATAAGATTTGAACTCCAACAGAGGGGCTTTGAGACTGATTCTGCATTCCAGCTTGGACCAAATTATGGAACTACAGGCTACTAGAACTATTAGAGTTGTGTTTAGATAGATGCCAGATGTTGAAGGAGTGTAGTAAGCACCTGCTTATATCTTCTCTGTCATCTTTGGCTACTGGCTCTTCCAGAACTGTCATTCTGAACTCTTTCATTAAGATAAATTATTGAGCTCTTGAATGGGTAAGGGGTGCCATCTTAATATTCATGTCTAATAGGTTTTCTAAACTTGCCATCTATGGCAGCAATTATGTGACTTTTCATTATAGGCAAGACTTTTTTGATTGCATCTTTTAAAAAGGCCTAATAGACCTTTGTCAAGGCTTGTTTTCAATGAATACAGGGTTTTCAATGGATTGTTCAAGTGTCAAAAACTTTCCAAAAAAACAAACAAATGTATTTTGTCTTTGTGCGCTGGTAAATGTTTTAAAATTGTTTATACTAAAACAGGTGAAAAAAATATGCCGGTATAATGAGTCAAAATCAGTTGTATTAAAGATACATACTCTGAAAACAAGTCTTACTATCTTGTGAAGTGTTGCTTCTGAACTAAATATTTTTATAAAGATTATTAGATATTTTAACTGGAAAATAAGACAAAATACTTATTAAAAAGACTAAAAAGACAGAGTACACTATATAATCTATAAGAATCTTATTTGTAAGATATCTTTCAGTCTTGCACATATTAAAATTTCTGTTTCTGTTTTCCTTCAACCTTAATAAGCAGTCCACCAGAAAGCAGGAACACAAAACCATAAAACAATTATATGAAATCACTTTATTATTTGTGTGTTGGTGATTCCATTTGGCAGGAATGTTACAGTCTAAAATCTGTCTATAACGGGCATGCAGTGAGGCCTACAGGTGGAGCGCTCAGAAAACACAGAGGACACACAGAAATCATTTACAACCTCACCTACAGTGCACATCATATGCATGCATACAATTCATCAACAAAGAGAGAGGGAGAAGAATCTACAATGACTTAAAAAATGCACCACATAAGAAACATAATTCTTCCAAAATACAACCACCAAGAGACAGGAACAAGAACAGATTACAGACGGAAAATCACACCGAGATAATTTATCGTTTTTAACATAGAGGAAACCGAGCAGGACGATGCAGTAGAACAGTAGACACTCACATTCAGATAACAACAATGGAATATTTCATAACATTACTGTTTTAGGCAGTATCTTCATTAGCATCTGTAAGACACGGAATGACTTTGAGTGAATGTATGATTTACATTTAGAGAACGAGATGATGACTATGCAATATTTTTTCCTTTACTCTTGCACAGTACTGAATACAAAATATGTTGAGGGAATGGGTGAACATTTTGTAGTTGATTGTTTTTTAGATTTTAAATTTAATTGTGTGATAATTTCTTTGTTCGTTTTAGGAATCTGTTATGGACAATCACAAAACCCAAAGCCCAGAGAGCTGAGATGGTACAGTAATCGCATATCACACTACCTTAGACAATAATGTAAAAGAACAATATTAAAAATAAGAACTAATGGTAGACGTTCTCACAAACAGGAACACTCTTTGGTTTAATAAAACAGGTGATGATAGGATGGGTTATGGGTTTCGGGCAGTATTTATTTATTAGTGCAGCTGATGGAAACTCACCACGTCACACAGATCGCACTATGAGAGCGGCAGTATCAAGGGCAGTTGATAGTCATGTAGAAAAATCACCAAAACTGCAAAATTTGTGCTCAGAAATGGCCTCTGTTGATTGTAAAGTACACTGAGTGGTGGAAACGTGAGATCTTAAGTCATTTGCGTGGAAGGTGGCACGTATTTCGCTAACAATTGTATGTTTTTAGCTGAATCTCATCTCTCCGAAAGTGTTACAGCTGACATCGTCACTTCTGGTGAGTAAAGGCCATAAACACAAGTGGCAGTAAAATCAGACAACATTCAGGATGATTGACCACTAATATGAAATTTAGCATCTTAGCAACTGGCTAGTTTGTTTAGCTGTTGAAGGACGCCGTTCTAATCAGCAAGCACATTCATATCATAAACATTAATATATATATTTAATCAACTCCATGTTCTTGTGCTACATGGCAGGACAGAACGCTATGACATCACTGTGACCGTGTGCTATAAATCGACACTATTTTATTAACTAAACTGAGTTTTACTTTTAAAGCCACGGCTTATATGTTTCCTAGAGACACTGAATAACAGTTTTTATTTATATGCACGCAAGCCAGTGTGGATCGGATGGAATGTCTGGAATATTCGGAATGTTCAAAACAACAGAATGGCAGCCTGATTCCTAGTATTTTTCTGAATCTGAAAATTTGCCTGTGTTTAGACATACACAATGATCTGCGACTAACAGGTTTTCCTGAACGCGTTGTTATTTACAATAATTGCGGACATAATATAATGAGAATACAAGCATACTCTATCAATACACAGCGTACTGTAGCTTATTTTTTGTTCGTAAAAATAAGAGAGGATGGATAATACAATCTGACTCCACGTCTTTCAAATCTGATTTTCTCATTATTGAGCAATTCAGCCCCGCTGTTTTCCCTCTTTTCAGTGCAGTTACAGCAACGAGAAATAACGTCATACATAAACTAGCAACAAGCAAGCATAAAAACACAAGTCAGATCCTTTCGTAGCTCATAAAATAAGAGCCAGGCTTCGTTTAGAGACCCTAAAAAATCTCGCAACTTCCTTCTTTAGATCTATTTACTAAGCTTGTTTGACTGATACTAGGAAGACGACACGGCATTTGCACACAAACATTCTCTAGCAAATAAGCTGAATACATAACTATGAAGATTGTCTGTTATTGCTGATCTGGGATCAGAGTCCCATATACAACCAACGGACACAGGACATCTTCATTCAGAAACAAATATTGCACCATTGTCACTGTCTGTTTACGTAATGTGTGCTCACAACCACGTTGTGAGAGCTAACGTAAATAAATGTAGACACTAAGAACTAGATTCTACTGTACAGCAGTGAAGATGAAGAGAATATATATTTATATTTACTGTATATAGCCCTATTGATCCAATTGTAGTTGTATGTGATCGATGTCACCCCTCACATTCTTAAGTACTGTAAAAAGCACAAATATAAGTCAATTCCAGATGAGCGCTAAGCTAAGCGCTAAGGTTTCACTCGTGGCGGCGAGCTAACACATGTGATTCCATTTTAATCAATCAAATCCAGTTTACTAGAGTGTGATGTGAATGTGTGGGACAATGTAATGAGGGACTTACTTTAAAGTTTGGTTACCTAAAGATGTGAACATCGAGCTATTCAACACTGGTGTCCGTCGGACAACAAAATCCAAAACCAGAGTTATTGCCTTAAATTTCAGTGTCTTTCAGCTAAAAATGCTAAATGAAATGGGATACAGTGTACTGATAAACAAAGAAAAATTGTTTGCATGCTTAAGAGGAAAACAACCAGCAAAACAACCAGATCATGTGTGATATCGTACGTTCTCTTCTATATTACAGTTTTCAGTCATATTAATCAGATATGATGTGACAATTCATGATGGCAGCAGGAACTGTATACTAGTTTGGATGATAAATGAATCTGTATACAGTATATATCTGTAAGTATACCACATGGATTCATCAGTAATATCTATAACAGAGCAACAATCAAAAATACGATGTGATTGGAGAAATCTCTCCAAGATAAATTTATGGCTTTTACTCATAGTCATTGTTTGATATATATATATATAGATATATCGATATATATATATCGATATATATGTATATCTGTAGTCATATACAGCTTTTTTCATTTGCTATGTACAAACAAAATGAATGAAGCACAGGGAATATTCTTGCTCTAAGGTCCGGACTCAGGGGGCATTAAATTTGTCTTTAAACAGAGTCTGATGTATGCAATGTAACATTTCTAGTGCACACATTGTATTTTCCTCATTGTTTTAATCAGAAAATGTCACATTTTGCAGTTAAAGACAGATGTTATGGCACAAATTTTGAGTCCAGAGATCTTAGAACATATGCGAGAGAGGGGAAGGGGAAAGAGGAGGTGGATTTCATGACATGAATGATTCCCGTTTTATCACAAATTGTCTGGAACACTGTTACTTTTTATTGAACATATCTTGAAGTGGGCCTGGGAGGAACTTCATGACGGTGTCCACAATGCTTTCCTCCTCTTCTTCTTCATTGCCGCAGCCAGCAGGGATTGCTTTCTTGGGACGGGTCAGACTGCCTTCTGATGCCTGCTCCATGGCTGCCTGGGCTTCTGCCTCCTTCTCTTCCTTCTTCTTTATACCGTACTGAAAAATACACGACAGTGTGTTAGATGTTTCCACATGTGACCTTTGGTTGTTTTATAAGCACATTTCTATATCCATTGTTGTTTTTCTTCTGCAAAGATTTGTATGCAGTTTACTAAAACGAAATCCTTAGAATAGTTTTTGTTAAATGAAATAAACTAAATAAAAAAATGTAATAAAAAATAATAATAAATGTATCTTTATGTACTAAAATAACTACAACTAAATCTAAAACCAAATTAAAAATAACAAGAAAAAATATATGTGGCCACAACAACAATAATAATAATAAAAGTAACGACAAAAACACAACAAAATTACTAACATTTTAAATAAAATTAAAAGTTGAGGATTTTGGCCATATTGCCAAGTTCCTGTTTTCTGCGTATTTTTCTTTTTTTTATTAATTTTTTTATAAAACCAAAAACTTTTGTCTACATTTTAGGATATGGGATAATGCTATAGTTGAAATAAGAGATTAATATGGCATTGCTTAATATGATGCTACTTGCTGTTTCTTTGCAATTGTTTGTGAATTTTCCTAGCAAAAAATGGTTTCTTTATTTTATTTTATTTTTTTACACTGTAGACCCAATGTGTGCCACCCTGATATTGTCTGGATGTCAAAATGTCATAAAACTGAAAATGTATGAACACTTTGGTGTCTGGAAAGGACAGGCAATTTGCTAAATGAATGACTTGCAGGACTATTTCCTCTTAATTAGCATACAAATGTTTGAGCATTGGAGAATTTTGGCTACACCCAATTCTAGATTGCCTCATGACCTGGATGTTAATTTAGAGACATTTAAATTGGAATGGTGTTGACTATGTCCATAAAACCTTGGCGTGCTGCCACTTGGCAAGTCAGTGTAATCATTTGGACCTGACAGTTAGCTGAGTGATTCACAGAAGCTTCATTTAGATCTGAGACACTTTCTCATTTACAAGCAAATGCCCTAATTTTGAATGGTGTGCCAAATATCGGCAAGGAAATCCACTTCATTAGAGAAGTGCTTAGATGACAAATGGTCCATTTCGTCTTTTTTTCACCCCCAAAGGGTCTGAGGCTCATTAATTCTTGCCTATTCTGTTTTAACCTTTCAGCTACATTAGAAAGACCACGAATTTATTAAGTAATTTAAATTGTGCTTATGCTGTTGATATATAAATGTTTTTTTGTTTTTTAATGTTTTTGAAACCTGTCTCTTTTGCTCACCGAGACTGTATTTTCTGATTAAAAATACAGTAAAACAACAATGTTATGAATTATTATTGCAATTTAAAAAAATTTAAAATGTAATTTATTCCTGTGTTGGCAAAGCTGAATTGTCAGTATCATTACTCAAGTCTTTAGTGTCACATGATCCTTCAGAAATCATTCTGTGCTGATTTGCTGCTCAAGAAACATTTTAAATTATTATCAATATTGCATTAATTTGATCAACATTGCATCAATTTAATGCATCCTGGCTAAACAAACGTGTAATTATTATATATATTTTTTTATCTTAATGACCTTAAACTTTTGAACAGTTGTGCACATGCAGGGGCGTAGCCATCATTTCAGAAGTGAGGGGGACAGAAATGTTTTATATATATATGTATATATACATTACATTACAATATAACATTTCTGTAATCTATATAACCTACCAGTCAACAGTTTTTGAACAGTAAGATTTTTAATGTTTTATAAAGAAGTATCTTCTGCTCACCAAGCCTGAATTTATTTGATCCAAAGTACAGCAAAAGCAGTAATGTTGTGAAATATTTTACTATTTAAAGTAACTGATTTCTATTTGAATATATTTTAAAATGATTGCTGTGATCAAAGCTGAATTTTCAGCATCATTACTCTATTATTCAGTGTCACATGCTTCAGAAATCATTATAATATGCTGATTTTTATTTCATTTATGTGAAATAAAAAACTTTTGTAACATTATACACTATACCTTTCAAAAGCTTAGAGTCAGTATAATTTAGATTTTTTTTTGGAAAATAAATTATAGAAATTAACACTTTTATTTAGCAAGGATGCTTTAAATTGATCAAAAGTGATGATAAAAACATTTATAATGTTACAAAAGATTTCTATTTCATATAGCCTAAATGCAGTTCTTCTGAACTTTCTATTCATCAAAGAAACCTGAAAAAATTCTACTCAGCTGTTTTCAACATCATGATAATAATAAATGTTTTTTGAGCAGTAAATCAGTATATCAGAATGATTTCTGAAGGATTGTGTGACTGGAGTAATGATGCTAAAAATTTAGCTTTGAAATCACAATAAATTACATTTTTTAAATATATTCAAATAGAAAATAGTTATTTTAAATAGCCTAGTAAAATATTTCAAAATTGTACTGTTTTGCTGTACTTTGGATCAAATAAATGCAGCCTTGGTGAACAGAAGAGACTTCTTTAAAAAACATGAACAATCTTACTGTTCAAAAACTTTTGACTGGTGTATAGGCAACTTTAATTGTACTCTAATTTCTAGCTTTTAATTGACTTAGAAATCAGATAACTGCTGGACAATAACCAATAATAATGATTTGTTTATATACTACAAACACTTTTTTTATCACATAAGGCAGAATAGTTTCTATACTGTAATAAATGCTATGTCAATTAGCACTGCATTGTTCGTATACTTTATTTATTACCTGGAGATGACTTGACAAACACAAATAAACCATATATTGTCGCAATCGTATGTTTAATGTTTTCATGTTTCCAAACGTTTCTGTTTTCTTTTGTCCATATTAGGAATTTCCTCATATGACTTTCTGCGCGAGAGCGCCTCCGGCTTCGGGTATGAATGAAACATACACTGCACGGAATGTTTAGCGCTCTGTGATGTTCATCTCGCCTTATTCTGGGTCCGAATAAAACATCAGATCATGCACAGACTATCCTGTCTCTTTGAATTTAAATCTATATTTATTCCCACCGGCTCTTGAAAACCTCTATGCAAACACACTTGCCCGAAAAAGTGCGGGGGACGAATTTACGTGATATTAAAAGTGGGGGGGACATGTCCCCCATGTAATCTATGCCCCTGTGCACATGTATAATGTATATTTCTTGTTTTAACTCATACAGTCTGCAGATATATGATGGGTTCTGTTTCCTGCATCGCTTCAGGAATCACAGTCAAATCCTGAGGAATGAAGATGCATAGTAACGTGTTGGAAGGAGATTTATATGAATGAATGACGTTTAGGGCAAGGCATATATCCTCTTTAAGACTCTCTGCTGCTCTAAGACATATATAATTGTGACGTTTTGCCAATAAATGGATTAAACAATGGGTGATTTCTGCCTCTGTCTACTGAGGTCACAAACTAGCTCATGCAATCAGCAGCTGACCTTCTAAACAATGATTTTCTGCTTTCTCAAACCATCTACTTGCTATAATTCCATCACTTATGTACGCATGAAATCTTATTAATGCAGCTTAATCTGGGAAATACTTATGGGTTACTTGAAGAGAGTGCTTGGCAAACCCTGAAGTTCAGTCGTCGTGGATTAGACCCATGGGGTGATGGCTTAGTGGAAAAAAGACAGGCTTTTTGGCCTCCCATCCTCTCAACATGGCTTTGCATAAACATGTATCTGTTTTACTCCAACTCCGTTTGCTCACGAGAGGAGATCATCCTCCATTTTGTGCAGCCATGCATACAATCTCTGAGACTCAGCGGCCCAAGGTGAATTATCGCGACAAATTCGTATGTGGCAAGTCTGTTAAGCAGAATAATCATTTTAACTCTGACTTTAATACATTGGATGAAGCCAATGTTCTTGATGTCATTTAAACAATCACAATTTTTGACCTATCTATCTATCTATCTATCTATCTATCTATCTATCTATCTATCTATCTATCTATCTATCTATCTATCTATCTATCTATCTATCTATCTATCTATCTATCTATCTATCTATCTATCTATCTATCTATCTAGAGAGAGTTTTTACTCAAATATATACACTACTAGTCAAAAGTTTTTGAACAGTAATTTTTTATGTTTTAAAATAATTCTCTTCTGCTCACCAAGCCTGCATTTATTTGATCCAAAACACAACAGAAGCAGTAATATTGTGAAATATCTTTTACTATTTAAAATTGCTTTCTATTTTAATATATTTTAAAATGTCTCATGATCCTTCAGAAATAATTCTAATATGCTGATTTGCTGTTCAAGAAACAGCAATCAAATAAGGTTTGGATCAAATAAATGCAGGCTTGGTGCAGCAGAAGAGACTTCTTTAAAAAACATAAAAAAAACTTCTTTAAAAATCGTACTGTTCAAAAACTTTTGGCTGGTAGTATGTATATACTGTATATATATATATATATATATATATATATATTTGTTTTTTTAAGTTTTTATATATTTGTTTTTATTGTTATAAATATATAGTTATTATGTGTGTGTTTACTTATTAATTAATATTATTATTATTATGCATTAATACATTATAACATTATAACTATATTAATACATTAATAAATTAGGCCTATTATTGGCAGTAACTGTTATTAAAATGATTAACAAACAATATGTAATATAGATCAATAATAAACATATATAACATATATGTTAATAAATTACACTTATTTCTATTAAAAATAATTAAAAACAGTATGTAATGGAGATAACTAATAAACAGTAGTTCATTTACATTTCTATATGAATATAAGTGAACATTAATTAATCAACGTATGGCAATTCTAAATGAATATACATCAACTAATATAGCATTGCATATTGTAATAATGTTTATTGTAATGTACACAATGTAATGAAGTTGTTAAATACCACCGTCTATTATTAGAATAATATTTCCATTTTCATAATCCATGGGTCTTTCCTTCCGTGACACCTTTTCCCTTTTTTTTCCTTCTTCATATTGTCACACAGAAAAGCAGCCATATGGTGGTATGAGCGCAGGGACTGAAGCATAGTCAATCTCCACAGCCTCCACAGTAATGGAATGCTTGCCAGAGCTAGACTGTTATTTTTCCAGTCCCTCTGGTTCACAGCGTGCGCCCCAGGGCCCGTCCATCCCCATACACAGCGTACCACTCAAGTGCTACAAAGCAGCATTCAGCCTCCCCAAGAGTGAAAAAAACAAAGAAAACCCCCATAAATAACTTTCACTTTATGTATATATGTGGTCTGTATAATTCTATAATGTCATTCAACCACTACTTTTCCTATACAGCATTAATATAATATTTTCTAAATAGCCTAGTTCAGTGATTGTCAAAGAAAAATTAAATACGATCATATGTGTGTATATATATATATATGTGTGTGTGTGTGTGTGTTTGTTTGTTTCTTGTTTTAAGCATGAACTCCCTTCATTTTAATAATTTTTTCAGAAAACAAGACTTAATATCTGAAGTCATTCTGCTTCTAAAGTAAATGTATCCTGATTTGAAAATGTTTAGATTTTTGCATTGGAAGTCAAGACTAAATTACTAAGTAGGAAAATCATTTTTTGCACTGTAGAACTTTGAAAACACTGAAGTTTCAAATTGTTTTATTATTTTATTATCAATGATGGATTATTATAGTTTTTGTTAATATTTTTAATTAGATTTAATTGTTATATTTACTTCTATATTTTAAATTTTTGTTTTTGTAATTTGTATTAGATTTTAAATGTGTAAATATAATATAATAAATATAATATAATATTTTTTTGTTTATTAGTTTTAGTTTAGTTTTAGATATTTTAGTACTTCAACTTAAACTAAATGAAAATGAGAAAGGCTGCCATGGCAACTAGCTGAAATAAAATATGTTTAAATTTTCTTTTTATGTTATTTAAGTGAATGTTAATGATAATCACCCTGGCCTAGATTATCATAAGTGATCATATAAACATTTTGACACCTTACGTATAACAGTGAATAATTATTTCACGGTACATTTACCTTGTCCCTGATGCCCTGTCGAACCGATTCCCTCTCCGATTCCATTTTTGCATATTTTGCCTTCCTCTCCTCCTCCTGTTGCCTGAGGGCTTCCTGTCTTTCTTCCTCCTTTCTGTCGGCATCAGGGTCCTTCTCCTCCTCGCCCCCCAGCATTTTCCCCATGTCTTTGGTCGCCCCTTTGAGAAAAAATAAGGAGAGAATCAGGAACAGGAAATCACGGACTGCATACTGGTCACAAAAATGGACTTCCAAAGACATTTGGAGGATAACCTCTAACACAAGGTGAACTGAAAATCTGGTAAATTAGTTCTCACTGTCATCCAGTTTCTTTTATAAATACTCTCAATGACGACTGCTCTCTTTGTTGGCAAGACATGCAAGTAGGACAGCCGCCAAGAAACGGACAATGGGTCAGATCGTTGTAACAAAAGGACTCCATTAGGACCATGAGAATACAGGAATTTGACAAAGCAGATAATAAGTTCTGATTGCATCCACAACTCACATTCATCAGTCATCAGACTGCTAGCGCTCCGCAGTGTGACTATGTGAGACGTCGTGTATCTTTCCACTGATTGGTCAAACCTTATTATTGCAACACAATGTTAGGTTGTGTCAGACTTACTTTTGTTAATGAGTATGTAATTTGAATTTAGCAAAAGACAAGTGCTTAAAATCACACATACAGTATCCCTTCAAGAGCAGCCAGCTAATACGATCCTATAATATACAAACACTGACACTGAACATAGCATTAAATCAGGGGAAATAGTGGAAATAATGCATTGATTTTGCATAAGATGAACATTCATTGTCATGATATTGTGTTGTAAGTTTAGAAAAAAACGAATCTGCATATGCATTAATTTGAATATGTTTCAGTGTTAATTAACAACTTTGCATTGCGCCACTTACTGTACATATTCATTTAGCAAATGTTTTTTCCCAAAGTCACTAACAAATGTAAAGTATAACAGATTTTTTATAATGTATATAGAATTAGTGCACTAACAGGATTTAAACAAGTGCAAAAAGATCCATGTCCACCGAATTGCTCATGTTATAGCTTTCTTCATTGGTAATTCATTTGATGAATTAACACAAATGTAAAGCAGAAATATGGCCCTTCAGTAACAATGAGCTTTCAGATCTAAACATTGTTTGTGACATGATATAATTATGTTAAATCAGAGCATAAAGTCTTAAATTCATGGCATCAAGTGTTTTATGCACTCAGTAGTTTTAGTTTTCCAATACAAAAATCTAAACCTCCTTGAGTCAAGATACATTATACTTGATACATCAAGATGCAAGATACTTGAGATGCAAATTAAACATATGAAGTCTTGAAGTTTTGAACAAATCATGAAGTCATAAGTCATAAAACTGAACAAAATGAACTGTGTTCATGCTTAAAACAAGAACAAACTTTTGTCAATGGGGAATGAAAACTTGTTTTCCCTTTGAATTAAGTAGATTTTTCTGAGCCCACTGGCAGATATTTGTTCTTGTTTTAATCATAAACTCACTTCACTTTGATAAATTTCTCATAAACCAAGACTTCCTATTTAATGCCATTTTGCCTCTCAAGTAAATATATCTTGATTTAAGAATCTTTAGACATTTGCACTTAAAAGCAACCAAAATACTGATAAAGTATATATTTATTTATTTTTTATTTTTTTGGGGTGTAAATAGCAGTACAGTAAAAATTATTTCCGTATCAGGGCATTTTAAATTTTTTTCGTAAAATAAATTAGAAAGTAATGGAGATCTATTGGAAGTTATATTTTCAAACCTTGAAGCATTGCTTATACGAGACAAACCTGCAGAAACTGGATAAAAGTGTCTGCCAAATGTAATAAGATCTGATGATACTGTAAGAGGTTCGATTTTAAAACATATTTTACCACTACATTTATCTGAAGCAACTAAAATTCCATTTGTGTTACACATTTTTATACACATTACTGTGCCATTGCTAATGCCGTGCTCTACAGTGTAAGAAAAAAATCCATAGAAGAAACAGAAAAGGGACTGGTAATTTTCTGCCAGGACATTACCCGTTAAGTTTATGGACATTTCTCTTAAGCCTAAAGTACATATATACAAAATACACACACACATGTATATATATATATATACAGTGGGTACGAAAAGTATTCAGACCCCCTTACATTTTTCACTCTTTGTTATATTGCAGCCATTTGCTAAAATCATTTAAGTTAATTTTTTTCCCTCATTAATGTACACACAGCACCCCATATTGACAGAAAAACACAGAATTGTTGACATTTTTGCAGATGTATTAAAAAAAGAAAAACTGAAATATCACATGGTCCTAAGTATTCAGACCCTTTGCTCAGTATTTAGTAGAAGCACCCTTTTGATCTAATACAGCCATGCGTCTTTTTGGGAAAGATGCAACAAGTTTCACTGTATATATATATATATATATATATATATATACTGTAGGTGACATTCTATTGAAGTAGCATAGAGAAAAATGCAGTTGTGTCAGGCTGTAAACACACTTTCGTTTCCAGTTATTTTTTTGTATCACCAATCTTGTGGTCAATAATACTCAAATAATAGTACAAATCTAGCCACATTCAAAACTATTATTTTTGTCCCACTGCCACCTTTGTGTCTGAGTTACTGTAGGCTGACATAGCAGAACAGAAGTTATCCAAGTTCATGCAATATGTATTCATGTCACGTCAGTTTGTGCTGGGAGACAGAACGGCATGTAAATGCATGAAGGGTTCTGTTTTCAGTCCAGGAGTTTTGTTCTCCCTGGATCAGCAGTTGAGGAGCGGCACACTGCCATTCCACCGGTCCATGAGGTCTGCGTTCAACCTGCGTGACACATGGTCTCGCATTTGCTGCTCTCTAGCAATTGATTTTAATGAGTGCTGGGTCTCTCTGACAGCAGAGACATGCAAAGACTTTAGCCTTCAGATCTGACGATTCACTTCTCTTTCATCAACCTGGGCTGTTCGTTCACATCATATGTACATGAGGGTTAGGAGGACCAAGCTTATCTTTACTCTGGAGAGGGTTGCTGAGCATATAGTCATCTGCTTTTTGATAGGTATTCATGAGAGACCCAGTTTATGGTTAGTGCCAGCAAGAGTCTTATCGAAAGCTGCTAATAACTAGATAGCAAGTAAGTTAAAGTCACAAAAACATTGCTGGTCTACAATTCATCTTTCTTCATAATTAGTTTTTGATGTTTTACTGTAGAAAATAAACCCGTGAAATTTACGTAAAAATATGGTATAGCAACAGTTTAGGTTTTACAGAACTCAAACTCAAATTTACAATATAAAAGTTCTACTGATATAGTGTTAATATTCTAGCTAAAGTAATATCATTTATTTTGTACTAATATACTGTATATATATAATGATGTACTGATATAAAAATACAGTACATAATAAAAGAGAGACATGATTAGTTCATCACGTGACACTAAAATTATGCAGAAAGCATAAATTTAACAACAAAAGATGAAACATAAAAAGTAAATGTATATAATTAAATGCAAAAACTATCAAGAAACATAATTATTTAAACAGAATACCATCAAATGTAAAATTGTGGGAATGTCAGTTTATGGTTTTTCTCTGTAAATTATAAGATGACTGTTCGTTTTTACTTCCAAAATCTGTACCATTCTGTGTATAGTAAGGAAACTTGCTGTTAACCAATTCACTTTTTATTTTTATTTATTTATTTATTTATTCATTTATTTTATTTAATTATTTTTACCAAGGCCAAAACAGGCTAATAGCACATGCTAACCCTTTTAGGTTTTTCGGTCAAAAAGGCTCTGCAATCAACTGCAAATTCAACTCTATCTGTTATAGGATGCCTACTTTTTTGTTTCAATTAATTTTTGATAAATCCAAGTTCAGCCTTACGTTCTGTTTTCAGAATATCCTGTTTTTGAAAGTAAAATGTACTGTAAATGGCATTGGTTGATTTTAAATTTTGCTGCATGATGTGAGGTCAGAACATAAATTTATATCACAAACTGACTGACTTTTCAGTGTGACTCACTTCAGTTTTTCTGTAATTCCAATTAAATGAAACAATTATCCGCACTCGTATCACACTGGAGCCAGCCATTCAGCTTTAGCACAATCAATAGGTTAATAAGAGGCAGAATTGTACAACTTTATGAGCTTGAACAAAGCATGCCCATAAGGACTGTAGGCTTACTACTGCTCTCAAATTGACTTCTGAGAAGACAGAATGAGTCTGTGCAAAATGGGAAACATTTGTCTCCATCTTTTTTAAATCCATTGATTTCAGAACAGTTGATTTGGCGTTTTAATTTTAGGGTTGGATCAACCTATGAAAACTGACTCGGTGGTAACTGAACTGAAACTACCCACTAGGGCATCCATAGAAAGGATTAGCTGACATAACCGAAAACTTGCTGAAACCGAGAGATTGTGTAGAGCTGTCATCCTGAATTACCAGTCAAGTGCAGAGTATATCCCTGTACGGAACAGCTTTAGCAAACTCGAGTTTTGAAATGAGAATAGCTAGTGTGTATTCACAGAGAATATCTTTGGCTGCAGTAGGTGAACGTCTTGAAAGTACAAATAGTGCTTCACTGCAAAGTATATTTTGCTTCGAAATCGCTCTTTTGAATTGCTCAGAATGCGCTGTTTTGGTATCATTTTAGTGTAGGAGAGAATAAAGTAACACATGATATTTGTGGTTTGAATTTAGCATGGCACTCACTTAAAAGACATTTTTGTAAATTCTGTGGTTATATTATAAATATTTTATCTTTTTAAGAAAGTTTGGCATTTAAATCAGTATGTGTAACCCATTTTTACTTTTGTAATGTGACACATTTCTAAGTGCAAGAGGATATTCAACAGGTAAAAACTCCAGAGTAAAAGCCCATTCACACCAAGGATAAAAACAATTATAAAGTTTTTATAATCATTCTCATTCTGTGATAATAGTGAAGTCCACATCATGACTATACAGTAACACTAATGACACAGAGATACGATATTGGTGGGTCACTTTCAGAAAGATTTTCTTTCAGCTGATGAACAATAAATCATTAACAGCCAGTCAGAATTTTATGGAAGCTTGTCTCCACCATGGGATTAAAAATAAAGGTAATTGCGACATTTTATCTCACAAT